AAAAAAAAAAAAAAGATAGGAATTAGGTGACAAATTAGATCCAGTGCTAAAGTGCTTAGACTTGATTCTATAAAAGACAGCCGATGAGAATTAGAATGGTAATATTTTTTATTTTTAATTGAAAGGGATATTTAATGACAAATATTCTAATTTATTAGTATCAAGTCAAATAGAGTTATATGATGATGTTACATGTATGAACAGCATTATCACATTTTGGTAAAAATTAAAAAGATTTTATATTATATTAAATATATAAATTTTTAAATCATATTAGTGCATAGGTGCATTTTTTTGGTCACCAACTTTATTGAGATATAATTTCCATACATTTAAAATAGGTGTGTTTTATTGTTTAGCCAGTGTATTTTGACACATGTGAAATCTACTACCATCATCAAGTTACAGAAATACCTTATTCCACAAAACTACCTCACGGCCCTTTGCAGACAACAACCACCTCTTCCCCCAGGTCCTGTAGACATCTACTTATCTGCCTTCTATTTTACAAATTTGCCATTTATGAACATTACATGTAAATGGAGTAAGATGGAGTTTTTTCCTATACCTCATGTCCTCTGACTTGCTTAGCATAACATTTTTAAAATTCATCCATGTTGTTTGTGTGTCAGTAGTTTGTAAATTGCTAAGTAGTAGTACGTTTTATAAATATCCTACAATTTATTTAATCAGTCACTTATTGAAGGCCATTTAGGTTCTTAACTGTTTTTTTTTTTTGGCTGGGGCTGGGTTTGAACCTGCCACCTCCAGCATATGGGGCTGGCGCCCTACCTTTTTGAGCCACAGGCACAGCCCGGTTTTTTCCTGTTTATCATTCTGGCAGGTATGTAATAGTATCTTGTTTGAATTTGTATTTCCATAATGGCTAATAGTATTGAACATTTTTCCATATCTTTATTGGCCATTTTCCCTATTTTTTGTACAACATCTTACCATAATTTTTTCCTGTTGAAAAAATTAGATTGTTGGTCCTCTGGAGTTGTAAGAGTTTTTAATATATTCTGACTCGGTGCCTGGAGGGTGCCGGCCACATGCACTGGAGCTGGTGGGTTTGAACCTAGCCTGGAGCTGCCAAACAACAATGACAATTGCAACCAAAAAATAGCCAGGTATTGTGGCAGGCAACTGTAGTCCCAGCTACTTGGGAGGCTGAGGCACGAGAATCACTTAAGCCCAAGAGTTTGAGGTTGCTGTGAGCTGTGACGCCATAGTACTCTACTGAGGGCAACATAGTGAGACTCTTGTCTCAAAGAAACAAGAGTTTTTACATATTCTGGTTACAAATCCATTGTCAGATACATAACGCAGGGTGAATATTTTGGTAGAAACAAGCATAAAAATGCATGAAGGATATATACCAAAGTGATTATCCCTAGGTATAATAAAAGTCCTTATATTCTCTTTTAGTTATCTCTTCTGATTTTTCACATTTAACATATACCATTTCTGTAATTTAAAAAATTAGTGTAAAAGTGAAAAAGGATCTTCTCTGTAAAGGAAAACAGGGGAAAGTGGTATAGCTAGAGAAAAGTACAAGTTCAGGAGAGGGTATTTTTGAAGATAAGATTAAGAGCATTTTTATAGTCCAGTGGAAAGGAGCCAGTAGGGTTTAAGAATAGCCTTTAATTCCTTAGGCCTTTGTAGAAGCAGCATCTGATGATGTTTGTTGACACTAGAATGAGTAACAGCTGGATTAGTTAATAGTGTGTAGGAGTAGGTACTTACAGGAGTTCTAAATTTCTTTAGAAGGGAAAATCTTGGAGCTGTTTAGGATCTAACTTAAAAGTGAAAATTGGAAAAAATGCATAGTACAGAAAATTATTGCGTTAACTTGGTACATTTTGTATATCTTTGGTATATTTGTAACCCAAAATTGTCTTCCCCCCCCTTCTGAGTTGCTTTCTCCAACCACCAAACGATGGGAAAACATCTCGTTTTAAAAATTAGCTTTTCATTTTGGTATTATTATTGCTTTGATCCACTGGTTGTGTTAAAATTAGTTAATCCTAAAATTATCATCCCTTAGATTTCATAGGAGGATTGATAAAATGCTTTAAAATAGCCAGAAAAGGGCCAAGCATGGTGGCTAACAACTGTAATGGTAGCACTTTGGGAGATTGAGACAGGTGTATTGCTTGAGCTCAGGTGTTTGAGACCAGCCTAAGCAAAAGCAAGACCCCATCTCTACAAAAAATAGTAAAACTAGCTGGGCATTGTGGTGGGCATCTGCAGTACCAGCTACTCAAAAGGCTGAGCAGGAGGATTGTTTGAGCCTGGGAGTTTGAGGTTGCTGTGAGCTATGATGTGTGGCACTCTACCAAGGGTGACAAAGTGAGACTGTCTAAAAATAAATAAATGGAAATTAAGACTTTATGTAGTTTTTATATGTTGTAAAATCCCAAGCCGTAAAAGATACAGAATTGTTAGGTTCTTGTGATAATCATGAGTTACTCCTATTAAAAAATATATTCTATACATGGATTTACTTCTGTATGTTTTCATTAATGGTGGTGATTTTTGTTTTTTTATCTGCATTATTGCAAAATATATTTTTGTTGGGCAATTGGATTTGGAGATAGAAAGAGGAAGAAAATCAGAAATTATTGGCTGTAAAAGCACACAGAGTAATCTTTGGGGAAAAGGAGGCTGCAGAGCAAAATTTGCACTGTTAGGTATTTATGGTAGAAAAGGTAAGATTGAGAATGAGTGAACCGAACGTATGGCTCAAGTGATTAGAAACTGAATGGAAATAAACTAAAGCAGAAGAAAGAGATTAAAATATTTAAAGACTAGTAGATTTAATAACATTAGAAGCTGGTTCTTTGAAAAAGGAAAACAGACAAACGTGATCAAGTGATTCTCTTGCCTCAGCTTCCTGAGTAGCTGGGACTACAGGTGCCATCCACAACAACCACTTGTTTTTTAGAGACGTGATCCTGCTCTTGCTCAGGCTGGTCTCGAACCCATGAACTCCTCTAGACAATCCACTTGCCTTGGCCTCCCAGAGTACTTAGGATTACAGGCATAAGCCACCGTGCCTGGCCCTACATAAACATGATTTTAACTATGAAACAGCAAAGTAACTATTGGAAAATATTTTTCTTCCCTTGTGTAATCATTATGGGTGTATTTTGTAGTATACAGGAGGAACTTTCAAGCTGGAAGTAGTCCATTCATAGGCATACATGCCAGAATCAGTTTTAACTAGCGTTTTCTAAAATAAGAAATGCAGTTATTATCCATGATAATAAAATTCAAAATTCTGTGGGGGAAAAAATACATTCTAATTTTTTTCTCATGATTCTTTTTAGATGTTTATTTCTCGCATGTATTTTGTATCATTTTAATTTGTACTTTTAGAAAAAGTAACTGCCTTCCCTATAGGTGTTGCTGCTATTTCCTGTAATATAGGAAAAATAATCTTTATTCTTATTTCATAGGTACAGACTGTTTTGAAGCCAGTCCATCAGAAGGAAGGCCAGGAATTAACTGCTTTGCTGAATGCTCCACATATTCAGGTAGAAAATGGACAGATCATTACATATGTTGGTTTTTTTAGCATTCTTTTTACTTTTAATCAAATTCTCCTAAGTCTGGAAGTTTTGGTATTTGCAACAATAGATAATTGTTGTTGGGTAATATATTTTCATATTTAATGTTAACCTAATTATTTCTGAAACAACTTCTTTCTCTTTAAAAATTAGGTCAGATTTTTTTCCCTTTTTGGTTATATTTCCCACAAATTTTAATTATCTAGGGTGTCAAGGCCTTTAAGTGGATATTTTGTTTTTATGAATTTTACACTTTCATAACTCATTCCATAGTATGCCATGTTATACTTTATACACATCTTTAGTTATTAGCTCTAATTAATTATAGTACTTTGAAAGATTTAATGATAAGAATACTACATGATGAGGTTAAAAATTGCTCTTACAGAAGTAAATCGTGCTGTTGCTTAAAATGCTATTGATTTCTTTGAAACAGGCACTTTTACTGGCCCATGATAAGGTTGCTGAGCAGGAAATGCAGCTAGAGCCCATTACAGAGGAGAGAGTTTATGAAAGCATTGGCCAATATGGAGGAGAAACTGTAAAAATAGTTCGTATAGAAAAGGCTCGTGATATTCCTTTGGTAAGTGTTCCACACCTCTGATCTGAGAGTCTTTTATACAGAGATGTTCTTTTTATTTTTTTCCTTAGAGTCTCACTTTGTCGTCTTGGATAAAGTGCTGTGACATCATAGCTCACAGCAACCTTGAACTCTGGGCTCAAGAGATCCTCTTGCCTTAGCCTCCCAGGTAGCTGGGACTATAGGTGCCCTTCACAACACCTGGCTAACTTATTTTTAGAGACGGGCGGCGTCTTGTTCTAGCTCAGGGTGCTGGAACTCCTGAGCTCACCTTGGCTCTATGCACCTTGGCCTCCGACAGTGCTAGGATTACAGGCTTGAGCCACTGTGCCTGGCCTCAGTTTTTCTCTCTTTTTTTTTTTTTTTGAGACAGAGCCTCAAGCTATCCCCCTGGGTAGAGTGCTATGGCATCACAGCAGCTCACAGCAACCTCCAACTCCTGGGCTCAAGCGAGTCTCCTGTCTCAGCCTCCCAAGTAGCTGGGACTACAGGCACCCGCCACAACACCCGGCCATTTTTTGACTGCAGCCGTCATTGTTGTTTGGTGGGCCCAGGCTGGATTCGAACCCGCCTGTTTTTCTCTTTTGATGTTAATTTGTTGGACTTTTTCTGTGTTCTTGCTCATACTTTTTTCTCAGTTGGGAAAAAATTATTATCTTTTCTCACTCATAAATTAATGAGAAATAATAATATGTGAAATATTTGAGGAACAAAGAAGAGACAAATAATTTATCCCTTGTTCATTATATCATCATTTCCCCAGCTTACTTTTTAGAATAAGAATTAGAAATTCTTTTTTTTTTTTTTTTGCCAGAGTCTCAACTATGTCGCCCCCGGTAGAATGCTATGGCATCATAGCTTACGGCAACCTCAAACTCCTGGGCTTAAGCGATTATCTTGCCTCGGTCTCCCAAGTAGCTAGGACTACAGTTGCCCGCCACAACGTCTAGCTACATTTTTGTTGCAATTGTCATTGTTGTTTAGCAGACCCGGGCCAGGTTCAAACCCGCCAGCCCCGGTGTATATGGCTGGTGCTCTAACCACTGAACAACAGATGCCAAGCCAAGAATTAGAAATTCTGATCTTTTCATTCAGGTGTTGAAACACTCTTACTGGCATACCTCAAATGTTCTTTAAAGTATGCATTTCTTAATGTTAATATTTGTCTTAGAGTTTTTATATGTAAAATTGGTTTTGGTCTTATATTGTCTTTAATTTCTTTACTTTGTTATCAGAGAAATATTCTTAAATCCTGGTGTAAAATTGTGCCTTGAATAAGGAGTAAGAGACTTTTTTTCCAATAGGCAATTTATATAACAACACCTTATCCAGGGAAAAGAAATTGAAAAAGATACGAAAAAAATAGTTTCTTAAGCCAAATATATTGTGGAGAAAATGGTCAGCTTTAAAATCTGATTGCAATTATTACTCTAGCTGTGTTTAAGTAAAATTTTCTCAAGCTAGCCAAAGGGCTAATTTTGTTGAATAGAAAGAAATAGAATTAAAGAATGAAGAAATGTTTAACAAAAAAATTGCATTTTTAATTTTGAATTAGATGTTATTTTTTTTTAGGGTGCTACAGTTCGGAATGAAATGGATTCTGTCATCATTAGCCGAATAGTAAAAGGAGGTGCTGCAGAGAAGAGTGGTTTGTTACACGAAGGAGATGAAGTGCTAGAGATTAATGGCATTGAAATCCGAGGAAAAGATGTCAATGAGGTTTTTGACTTATTGGTAAGTTGACACAGGTAGAAGAATAATTGCTAGGTCTTAAAAAGCTGTTGCTGGACTTAGAATAAAATATTTGAAAAACATTTAAATAATAACTGTTAAGAGTATTAGACAATTCCCAGCCTAATTTTCCCATGAAGTAATTTTTCATAGTATTTATTAACAGTTTTATTTGGGGATAGGTACTACTGATATTTTATACTTTCTACTTTATTGCTATCAGGTATATTTTATTGTTTCTGAAATCAGTAATAATGTAAGTTGTTGAATTCATTCAGTAAGTATGTATTGAGTGCCTGCAATGTGCTGGCCCCTGGGGAAGCAGTAACCAAACAAAATCCATGCCCTTTTGATTTTTATGTTCATTTCATTTTCTTACTATCTGCAGTTGATTGTTATTTTCCTGATAATACTAGATTATAGCATGCTACAGATCTGTAGTATCCAATATAACATCCTCTAGCTGCATGTAGCTATTTTCATTTAAATTGAGTAAAAGGAGTTGAGTCTAGTCTGTCTCCCCCACTGCGAGACTCTGTTGTAGTGGTCCCTATAACAAAAAAATTAAGGAAGTAAATTTTAAAGTTCAGTTCTTCATTTATACTAGCTGTATTTCAAGTGCGAAGAGAAATATGTAGCTAATGGCTACCATATGGAGCAGATACAGCACATTTGCATCATTACAGAAAGCTCTGTCAGTGCTAATGTAATCAGGATGTCATTTATAGACATTTTTTAGGGCAATTTATGATCACTCTGTACACATCCATAGACTGGATTTATATTCTTAATTACTTGGCATCGGAATCTCTACTGTTACAGTAGAATCATCACTGTCTGGTGATGTCTGTTACAGATGATTTTCATGCAATGCCATTCATTGGTTTGGTAGAGCAAAGTGCCACTGGTCATTATTCTTAGCCCTTGTTTAATCAACTACTATCATTAAGTTGAGCACTGTTCCTCTGCCCTATCATTATTAGACGTTGTGATGATTACTCTCCAGGTTGCAGATTTCTGAATAAAGCAGTCAGTGGTGTACTGGGAAATAATAGTGAACTAGCCATAAGACTCTAGACAGTTAAAAACTAGAATGGATGAGGTGGCATAGTGGCTCATGCCTATAATCCTAGCACTCTGGGACGCAGGGTTGGAGGGATTGCTTGAGGTCAGGCAACTAGCCTGAGCAAGAGTGAGACCCCATCTCTACAAAAAAATAGAAAAAATTATCCAAGTATAATGCTATACACTTGTAATCCTAGCTATTTGGGAGGCTGAGGTAGGAGAATCACTAGAGCACAAGAGTTTGAAGCTGTAGCGAGTTATGACGATGCCCCTATACTCTAGCTGGGGCACAGAGCAAGACTCTGTCTCAAAAGGAAAAAAAAATGGAGTGGATGATAGAGACAGGTCATTTGGCAGTTGAAAAGATTGCATTGCTTTTCTAGTCCTAGTCACAATTTTGCAAATTCTGCACCACTAAAACTGATGTATGTCCGAGTAGATAACACATAATTGTTACAGCACTATGGTGTCTTTCAACCCTTCACTGTGGAATCTTCCAAAACTTACACTAAATGTAAGAGAAAAACCCAAAACTTACAGTCTAAGTGGCTTCTACAGTGGGCCAGAATTTCAAAATGCCACATTTTAGATTATTTCTAATATAATGGAATCTGTGAAAAATATAATTTGTGCTTTCTGATGAAATGGGATTCACCTTTACCAATTTTCTTCTTCTAAGTCTGTGTAGAGATTCTGGAATAGCCTGGTTTGGGGAACACCTAATGTAAAGTCATAGAATTATTTTCATAAACAGATTTCAAAAGTAACCTAATCTTTCTATTACAGTCAGACATGCACGGTACTTTGACATTCGTACTGATTCCCAGTCAACAGATCAAGCCTCCTCCTGCTAAGGAAACAGTAGTAAGTATTTATTTTTCCATGGCTATTGTTTACTTTTGTGTATCGGAAATATCACCATCAGTTTACACAAGTAATAACAGGTAAATTCAGCAGTTTTTATTTAAATAAATATGAAATATCAGTGTTTCAATTTGGGAACCTTTTAAAATAAAAAATAGAAAATACTTCGATTTCAGAATTTTTACGATTTCTAACATTAAACTTTGTTTTTTCTTGGTAGTTATAGGCAGGCTTATTTAACTTAAACATAATTAGTATATACTGAAGGGAAGTACTTTTACAAAGCATATGAGAACAATTGTTATTTTTGAAGGTAATTGTTCTAATGTTAAACATTTGCGTAACTAGCTCTATTAAAAGAGAGACTTGATTATCATGTGACCCAGCAATTCCACTTATAGATGGTATCTATCCAAGAGAATTGAAAACACGTTCACACAAGAACTTGTGTATGAATGTTCATAGGAGCAGCATTTGTAGTAACTAGAAGGTAGAAACAACCCAAATGTCCTTCAATTGATGAAATGAAAACAAAATATGGTATATCTTAGAATGGGATATTATTTGTTAATAAGAAAAGACTAGGGCGGCACCTGTGGCTCAGTGAGTAGGGCGCCAGCCCCATATACCCAGGGTGGCAGGTTCAAACGCGGCCCCAGCCAAATTGCAACAACAACAACAAAAAAAAGTGGGGGGCGCCTGTGGCTCAAGGGCAGGGCGCCAGCCCTATATGACAGAGGTGGTAGGTTCAAACCCAGTCCCGGCCAAAAACTGCCCAAAAAAAAGAAAAAAAAAGACTAAAATACTGATACATGGTTTGGAACCTGGAAAAAATTATGCTGTGTCAAAGAGGCCAGTCACAAAAGGCCATGTATTAGTTCTTTTATAATATGAAATGTCCAGAATAGGTGAAGCCATGGAGACAGAATAATAGATTAAGTGGTTCCTTAGTTATGGAAACAGAGTTAAGAAGGATTGAGAGTGATTGCTCATCAGTACCAGGTTCTTGTTGGGGGAATAAAAATGTTCTAAAATTATTTCTGGTGATAGTTGTACAACTCTCTGAATCTCCTAAAAACTATCCAGCTGGGGCTTGGTGCCTGTAGCTCAGCAGCTAGGGCGCCAGCCACATACACCAGAGCTGGCAGGTTCAAATCCAGCCTGCGCCCACCAAATAACAGTGACAACTACAGCAAACAAATAGCTGGGTGTTGTGACAGGTGCCTGTAGTCCTAGCTACTTGGGAGGCTGAGGCAAGAGAATCACTTAAGTCCAAGAGTTTGAGGTTGCTCTGAGCTGTGACACTGTGGCACTCTACCCAGGCCCCGCAGGGCGACATAGCGAGACTCGGTCTAAAACAAAAAAAGAAAGAAAACTATCCAACTGTGTACATGGATTAATTAGATAGTATATGAATTATATCTCAATAAAGTTGTTAAAAATGATAAAGTTTAAAATGTGGAATTAACATGGAAGCCTGGTGTATTGCATCTGTTCCTCTTAACTTTTGTAAAAGCATAACAGTTTTTTGAGAAAGAATGCAATTTCATTTTTTCTCAGTATTTCATCACAATTAAGTATTATATTTTGGCCATCATTTCCCCCTTATTGTTATAGAACTTAATGAAGTTGATGTTATAGCTGCAACTTTCTTTCTGTTTACAGTTCTTTGTAGGAAGACAAATGAAGAAATATAGTTTGTCTCTGAATTCCAAGAGCCTAATTCTCTGTGTACTGTGCCTTTCCACATATCTCTCCTGTGTATAAGCCCTGGACTTCAAAAGTAGTTCTGCAAACTGAGGAGACACAACAGAGGAGAGTTGGCGTATGCCTTTATTTAGATCAGGGACCTCAAACTTTTTAAACAGGGAGCCAGTTCACGGTCCCTTAGACCATTGGAGGGATGGACTGCGGGCCCTGGGACGAGTCAGCTGCTAAGCAGGACAGGCAGCAGTGGCAAAAACACCTGGCGAGCCGGATAAATGTCCTAGGCAGGCCGCATGTGGCCCGCAGGCCGTAGTTTGAGGACTCCTGATTTAGATGTTAACAGTAATCTATCCCTCTTGAATAGTTTTTGTCTTTTGAGAATGAATGTCAGAGGTTTTAAGACATGTTTTATAATCACTGCTTTAATGCATAAAATTAATTTAAATCAGTGGTTCTCAACCTTCCTAATGCCAAAGCCCTTTAACTGTTTCCTGTGGGATCGCGACCCACAGGTTAAGAACCGCTGATTTAAATGTGATATTAATATTGCTGCTTCTCATTGCATACAAAATTAGAATTAATAGAAAGTAAAATAGTGATGAGCAATAGTTTTCTTTTCCTTCCTTTTCCCTTTTATTATGAAAACTCTCAATTGCAATATTTCTTGCAAAGTTTTTATCAAATCTAACTATCTTAAAATGAACTACATTTATTAAAGCCCCCTTAAAGCTATACAAAAGGGAAACAGTGATAGGAAATTACAATTTTGTTTGGTGCATAATATTTGTCTGAAATTAATGCTCTAAAGAAATTAAAACCAATTTATTTAGGATCATTATAGTATAACTAGAACAGCAAAAGATATCTTCCTTGATCTATGTTTTGTAATGTTAGAAACGTATTTAAGATAAATGTACAAGATATGCATTATCTGAAATCCTGCTATAATCGCTTTGTTGAATTACCATGTATGGCAAGAATAACTTATGTCAGAAGTGCTCTCTGAGGTCAGTTTCTTTGTATCATAACAGTAACCAGTGACTGCTCTTTCAGTAGCAGAGAAGAGTCTCGGCACCTTCATCGTTCACTTCCTGGGTGACTATTCCATTTGTCCTCGGATACCCACACATTGTTCAAATTCTGTGGTTTCTTTCTCTCACAGATCCTTAAGAGAAAGGGCCCAGTTTTTCAGACTAGTCTATAAAACTTTAGGTTATTTTATACTATAATAATATGGAGGGAGGAAATAGTAGGTATTTTGAGATGAAAGGGACTTTTTCATCTCATCTAATACCCTCATCTAACAAAAAGTATATTGAAGTGAAGGAGGATCCCATTGCTTATTATTGGTGAGGGAATACATACCAGAAAATTAATAAATTATTGTTTAGGAAGTATTAGCTGTGAGTGCAGTGGCTCATGCCCATTGCCCTAGCTACTTGGGAGGCTGATGTAAGAGGATCACTTGAGGCCAGGAGTTTGAGACCAGTCAAAGCAACATAGTGAAACACTGTCTCAAACAAACAAACAAATAATATTACCTATTATTATGATGATTTACTCTGTGTGAAGCACTACAAAGGTAATTGAGTCATAAGGGAAAGTTGAGAGTGCTGTTAACAAATGCATTTACTTTCTTGTGATAGCTATAAAATGTATTATATACTTTTCACCATAATTTTTTCTTATTTGGAATAAGGTCTAGAATTTAATGATGCAGTAAGGTTTTTTCTAATAAATATTTTATCAGAAGATGCAAAAAATGTAGAAAATTTCGGTGTCGATTGGATGGATACCCATTTTCAAGTTAGGGCAGTTGCTCTATCAAGTTTGGTATTGTTCTGAGGTTCATATTTTATCTACCTACTAAACACCAGTTTGACATCCCACGGATACCTCAAACTTCTCTCCTGTGGAGAATGGAAGAGAACAAATAATAACAATATTCCTTTTTTTGGTGGATGGGAAAGAAGAGGAATCCCAGGGTTAGAGGGAGATATTTGAAAACTTGCTTGCTGCTATAAAGTCTTTTCTTGACTCACTTTCACTATTTTCTCTTCTATAATTAATTTTAAAAGTTAAAGATAAATCTATAGTAAGAAATAAAAATTACAAAGAAAAATATTTGGAACCTTAGGAAAGATACATGTGAACTGATGAGTCATTATCCCTTTGCTCTATTCCCATTTTATCATTAGAACTTCAGATGCAAATAGCTTATAGGTACTAAAAATAACTAAATGTTGGGCTTGAAGATAATTGTATCTAAACAATTCTATAACCTGAAATTTAAATGAAAGATTTCATTTGGTTTAAATTCCAAACACTGTTTTGATCAGAAAACACTGTATTGATATTATATCAATTATTATACCCCTGGAGCTTTCCTATGAGGGTCAGCTTCTCTCCTCCTTTTTAAAAGGCTTTATTTTTCATTGCGTGGGAAACAAAATAATTTAGCCACTAAGAGAGGAAAGATTGGAGGAGATAACTTGTAACACTAATGAGAATCAGTGGGCTATGTGAAATAGAAGTCATATAGTGTATGTTTAGTGTATGTTAAGGCAGTGCACAGACTTTTAACTCATTCAAATGGTTAATTTCTTTGATGTGGAATAAATTTTGTTTTGGAAAAGTTAAGAGCTCTTGCTCATTTTAGATGGGACTAGATAACCTTTTCATATAGCAAAGCATATCCTCTTCTCAGTCTACACAAATATAGGCCCCATTCCAAGCCATTTAAATCAGAATAGTTGGTTAAGAGCTGCCTAGCCAAGAGTAGATAGAAAAGCATCTCTGGGTGATTTTGTTGGCCTCTGGCAAAGGTCATAAACCTAGATATTCCCTCCTCACTGGTCTTTTTAACTTCCCTCAAGGTAGTAGTTCACTAAGATTTCTGTACCTCACAGTTACCCATGGAACCTGATTAGAAGGTAGAATCTGATAGTCTGAGGTGTGGTGTGAGGAGGCAGCCGTTCAATAAACATCCCAGCGGGTGATGTAAAAACATCGTACTGGGGACGCTTTCAGAAAGTGATTTGATAAGATCATCAATCAGGCTGACAAGTAGTCTAATTTGATAGATCTCTGAAAAGCCTGAGAAAAATTCTCTCTCTGCTACCTCAAGTGATGCCTAAAATTCCATTCTTAGATTTCCAAGGTTTTGTGACTAAAAAGTGACAATTTAAACTGATTCTGGGAACATTATTAATTGATAGGGATGGTATTCAAGCATCCTTGATTTTTTTTCCAATCAATCTCAAGCAGATTTTTCAAAAACCGTATTTCTAGGTCATCCTACATATTAGGGACTTGCCTTATGCCAAGATTGTAAATTTGCATGTATAATCCTTTTACTCCATCTCCCTACTGTGTTTTGGTTCACTGTTATCCCACACAACTTTCTAAAATTTATTTTTGGTGCCAACTGACAAAGTTTTCAAGATTTTAACCAAAATGCAAATGTTTTCATATTAAGAACAAGGCTCTTCAGGGCACTATTTGGGAAGTAGCATAACACTTCAATTAGGTGCGCTATCTTAACCAGATTTGTTACAAGGCTATGTGCTTAGCGTTTCATTTATATGAAGTATAATAGAGGAGAAACTTACCTGTGTTTCTAGAAATCAGGATGGTATTTACTCTTGGAAGGGAAGGAGAGGGTATAATGACCAAACAGGACATGAGTTGAGGCTTCGAAGGTGCTGGTGATCCTCTGATTCTTGATTTGGGTGTTTGTTACATAGGTGTGCTTAGTTTTTGAAAATTAATTGTGCTAGACTTATGAGTATGTGTAATTTTTGTACTTGTATACATATAATATGTCTATGAAAAGTTATCCCCCAAAGCAGACTACATTTAAGTTCTGCGTTTAACTATTTGACTTTTTTTTTTTTGGTTGAGACACAGTTCTACCCTACGCCTGAGCAGAATGCAGGGGCATCGTAGCTCACTGCAACCTCAAACTCGGGCTGTGGGCATCCTGCTGCCTCAGCCTCCAAAGCCACTGGGATTATAGGTGTGGTCCCCGGCTGGGTTTTCCCTTTATTTTTCATGAGTCAGGGTCTCACTCTTGCTCAGACAACTCTGGAACTCCTGAGCTCTAATATTTCTCCACCTCAGCCTCCCACAGTGCTGGGATTACAGGCATGAGCCACCGTGCCCAGCAGCTATTTTACATTTTTAACTGATCATATTTTTTACCTGTTTCACTGTATGTTGATTAGGACTTAGCTTTCCTCATTTCCTATTGACAATAGTTAGTAAAATGTTTGTTTTTGAAATTAAAAAAATGTTTTTAGATAAAAATGACACCTCAAGCCAAATTTCTAAAAGAGACTGTCTCAGAGGTGCCTGTAGCTCAGTGAGTAGGGTGCCAGCCCCATATACCAAGGGTGGTGGGTTCGAACCCAGCCCCTGCCAAACTGCAACAACAACAATAAAAAATAGGGGGGCGTTGTGGCGGGCACCTGTAGTCCCAGCTACTCAGGAGTCTGAGGCAAGAGAATTGCCTAAGCCCAGGAGTTGGAGGTTGCTATGAGATATGATGCCACGGCACTTTAAGGAGGGTGACATAGTGAGACTCTGTCTCTAAAAAAAGAGAGAGAGAGAGAGAGACTGTTGGTTTATGAGGAGTCTAGGCTATTATACCATGTAGTGGAGAGACCTTTTGATCTATAAACATATATGTTTTTATCACTTAGAAAGTATTTTATCATTCTTCTTAGCAAAGTATCTCAAGAATAGAAGAAAAAGTATCCAAGGTATACTCAGTCTTACTATGAAACCAATTTATAGCTTTCTTATGAAAGCTATAACCCAATTATAGCCCAAGAAGAAGAAGGGGAAAGAGGAGAGGGAGGAGAGGGGAAGGGGGAGGATGGGTGAAGGGAGGTAGTTGGTGGGACCACACCTACAGTGCATCTTACAAGGGTATGTGTGACATTTACTAGGTGTAGAATATAAATGTCTTAACACAATAACTAAGAAAATGCTGTGAAGGCTATGTTAACCAGTTTGATGAAAGCATTTCAGATTGTGTATAAAACTAGCGCATTATACCCCATGATTGCATTAATGTACACAGCTATAATTTAATTAAAAAAGAAAGTGGGGGCAGCGCCTATGGCTCAAAGGAGTGGGGCGCTGGCCCCATATGCCAGAGGTGGTGGGTTCAAACCCAGCCCCAGCCAAAAACTGCCAAAAAAAAAAGAAAGAGGGGGGATAAATGTATTTGACAAAATTTTTTATAGTCTGTCATCAATAATTGAGAATAGTCAATTTAATCAGTATATCAAGACCTTAATAAGGATACTTCCTTCTCTAAAATGATTTTGAGACAGACCAGTATTGTCTTAATGATATACAGCCTCAGTTGCAATGAAGGTAAAAGATTTAAAGAAACCGAAATAGTGTTTGGATAAAAATTGACTCAGGTTTTTTAGATTCTTAATCTGTTGCTTGGTTCATTGAGCCTGAACTTGGAATTTAACCTGTATTGGGCAGAAATGCTTATTGTGTATATGTGTTAGATGTCATTAGATGAAGGTAGGTTTCTTACAGATTTTGGAAATGTCATTTGCCCAAGCTTAGGCGAAAATTAGATGTGAAGACATTAAAGAGAATATTAATTCATTTATATTTTCTTAGAAGTAAGAATACTGGCTCGGCACCTGTGGCTCAAGTGGCTAAGACGCCAGCCACATACACGTAAGGTGGCGGGTTCGAATCCAGCCCGGACTCGCCAAACAACAATGACACCTGCAACCAAAAAATAGCCAGGTGTTGTGGCGGGCGCCTGTGGTCTCAGCTACTTGGGAGGCTGAGGCAGGAGACTCGCTTGAGCCCAGGAGTTGGAGGTTGCTATGAGCTGTGATGCCACAGCACTCTACCTAGGGGGATAGCTTGAGGCTCTGTCTCAAAAAAAAAAAAAAAGAATACTTTGTTATATTTTATAGAGGGAAATGGGAGGAAATGGAGTAAGGAAATAATTTTTTATAATGTTCACATGAGTCCTCACCTTTAGTGCTAGATAGCACAGCATGATTCTGTTATTCTGATTTTTAAAAAATCATTGTTAGCAAAAATCATGATAGCTTGTGCCATTAATATTTCAAAGCCTACACAGTACACAAGTAAGAACTGATTATAAACTTGATTTAGGGCAGCGCCTGTGGCTCAGAGGAGTAGGGCCGCTGGCCCCATATGCTGGAGGTGGTGGGTTCAAACCCAGCCCCGGCCAAAAACTGCAAAAAAAAAGAAAGAAACTTGATTTAGAAGTTTAGGGTATGCTTGTTTCATGAACCTAAACATATCCCTTTAGAAGAAACACCAAGAGAGACTAAAAGAGATAGTTGGATTGACAGCAGTGGGGTCAAGAGGTGATGAGAGCCCCAGGGAAGCTGATTCTTACCTGCGTAGATGATGAGGTGAGAGAAGGGTTAAAGCCTACCTTTTCTGGTTGCAGTGATTTAGAAATCACATACCTTATTGCAGAGTTATTTTCCTGAAATAGGAGGATTCTTTTAAATTTCTTCTGATTCTCTCAAGCCTTTGAGGCTCCTTTGCATTTCAGCTTGTAACTGCTAACAATGAAGTGTTTTAGATGTTCTTACACATATTTGCACTCAACAGAGAGGACAAGGGATAAGCCTGAAGAAACACTGCCCTAAAATACTGTTATACCCTCCTCTCAATTTGCAATTTCTTTGCACTAATGAAAAATTGTAACATTTAAAATTATATTTATAGTAAACATTAAGCTATTGTTTTCATTTTTACCCTCTTTTTTAGATCCATGTGAAAGCTCATTTTGACTACGACCCCTCAGATGACCCTTATGTTCCATGTCGAGAGTTAGGTCTGTCTTTTCAAAAAGGGGATATACTCCATGTGATCAGTCAAGAAGACCCAAACTGGTGGCAGGCCTACAGGGAAGGGGACGAGGACAATCAGCCTCTGGCTGGGCTTGTTCCAGGTAAGAGACAATATATTAGAATGGACATAGTATTAAAAGAACATTTGATTTTGACTAAAGTACGTCACTTAAACATTAATTTTTACTTCAACTTGTTAATATGCTGTTTAGGATACAGGATACTGTATCCTCATTTAAAAGTGAATTATGTTTGTAATTTCCTTTTTCATAATAATATATTTTTTCCAATTTTAATATCAGGTGTATCCAGATTAAGCAGAATGATTTTGAAGTATTTCTTTTTCTATTGTCTATAAGATTTGGCATGATCTATTTTTTGAAATTATCTTTTATTTATAAATATTAGTTGTTTATTTTTTGAGACTTTGGGGAAAAAATAATAAGTTAATTGATGACTCCATACTGAACCTCAGAGTCAAAGCATTCTGTAATAGACGTACTCTTATTTGACAATGTGAATGTTACTTTCTTTGCATTACTAGTATTATTATTGCTTAATACTTTTCTATAGCAATCGTCTGATTTCTTTTCTGAATGTATTTATCTTCAATCATTCTTCATGAGGTTTTTGTTTCTAGTCTTTATCTTAAACATTGTTATTGTTGTTAAATTTTAAGCCTTTTTAATTTTGTGAAGACAAAAAGTGGAAACCTAATAAATACATGCATATGTAAAAATAAAAAGAAGAACAACATTAAAAAAACCCTCACTTTTTCATGCCTCTTAACAAATATTACAGTTGATTTTTCATGTAGTTGACTTCTTAGGTTGTACCTGTAGCCTAAGTACCTTGACTAGAAATTTGGCCAGTTTCTTTTTTTTTTTTTTTTTGGTTAGGGTTTTAGAATGGAATTATAGTATAACTTCATCAACCAATACCATATTGTGCTACATTTCTTTTACGTATATTAAGACTACTCTATTATGAAGGCAACACAATCTGTATACTTTAAGAAATGATTATTAATTAGGTTATCGACATGATTTCTAAGAAGGAATATGTTAAGATGCATTTTTTTAAGGAATCGGGGAAGTATTACCATTGAATTTCTTATACCTAATATGATCTTGGGGTAGTAATAGGGTATCTCATGTTTTTTACTGAGGAAAACTATCCCTAATTTAGACTAACCTAAAACTTAGCTCATATTAGACATGAAAATTATTAAGAGAACATATTTCTCAGAGTTAAGGTGATACATAATTAAAAAAAAAGATAATACAGTCACATATCACTTATCAAAGGAGAAACGTTCTGAGTAATTTGTTGTTAGTTGATGTCCTGCAGACATCGTAGAATGAATGTACTTAACAAGCCTGGATGGTATAGCCCACTACCCAGCTAGGCTGTGAGGTATGATGGGTTGATCCATCCACCACCACATATGCAGTTCATGTTGATTGAAACATTGTTAGGCAGCACATGACTGTATATAATTTTTCCTACAAATTCTTCTTATAGTTCTCAGAGTGGGGCTAGAACAGAGTGAGGGGAGCAGAACCAAGAGAAGTGTGATAAGCTTGAAACTAAAAGAATTAGATATGAAAAGTAAATATAAAAGTAAAACTCTTAATTTTCTATGAAAACCACTTTTATCCTTCAGAAAAAATACTGATTTCAAAGTAGAAATCTGAAAAGAGGAAAGTCAGAAACCTTCAAAGCCTCCTATACATAACCCTTAATCCTTTAAGGAAAAGCATGTTTTCCATTTATTTTCTATTATTGGTAACTTAAAGGTGGGAATAAAAAAATCATTGACACATTTACATACATAAAACCAAAACAGTATTTAAGAGTAATATATGTGGCTGGGCGTGGTGGTGGCGACGCACATCTGTAATACTAGCACTCTAGGAGGCTGAGGCAAGTGGATTGCTTGAGCGAGTTCAAGACCAGCCTGCACAAGAGTGAGACCCCCATCTCTACTAAAAATAGAAAAGCTAGCCAGGTGTTGTGAGTGCCTGTAGACCCAGCTACTTGGGAGGCTGAGGCAAAGAAGATCTCGTAGGCCCAACAGTTTGAGGTTGCTGTGAGCTATGATGCCATGGCACTCTAGTACAGTAAGTCTCTATCTCAAAAAAAAAAAAAAAAAAGTAATAAGTACTAGCGAATAGATAGTGTCTTAGATTGAAAAGTGATGAATGCTCACATATTATTTTGGATTTTGGAAAAGTTAACTCTGAGAATTGATGTTTGGTTTGAGATAATTCTAAATGACCAGAACCATTGTAAGATCCAGCATAATACTTTCCATAAAGTAAATGCTTAATGAAAGCTTTTTAAAAGTTCAATTATTTTCTAATATTGGTTTCTTTATTTACTCATTCTAATAGATGCTGAACTTCCAATAATACCTATCATAGGATTGGTTAAATGAGGTTGAAACCAAATACTTTCAAAATTTGGAGGCTTAGATATTATAGCTGAGATTACTCTCCTGTATAGGCAGAAGGATTTGGAAGAGAATATAAATGAGGAGTTAACTACCTCTAGCATTTCCCCCTGGATTAAATCAAAATACTTTGTCCTTTTCTCTGAAGTATTTTACGCTTCTTTTTCTTTCTGCTATTAAGGGAAAAGCTTTCAGCAGCAAAGGGAAGCCATGAAACAAACCATAGAAGAAGATAAGGAGCCAGAAAAATCAGGTTAGATGCCTATATTTGACATTAATAAACTGTTTCTTGGGTCTTCATCTAGAACTATTTTTAAATTTTCCTTTCAGAACTATCAAGAAAGATGTATTTCATGGAAAATATGATGTGAGAGGCACATCATCTTAAGACTGTAAAGAAAGGACAAAATTTTAAGTATTAAGGGCTATCTGTCTGTAATGTGCAATTAATGAAAAAGATATAAGTACTTTCCTGAAAACTAGTCTTTTTATGAACAGTGTAATGAGTTTATAAATTTAAACTAAAAAGAATTTAAGTTTTGCAGTTTGAAATATGAAATTGAAATATATGGCTTTGTTTAAGGAAACACATTTATAGTTGTATTTATGATTGCTCAATAGGAAAACTATGGTGTGCAAAGAAGAATAAAAAGAAGAGGAAAAAGGTTTTATATAATGCCAATAAAAATGATGGTAAGTTCTACTCTCAGGTATAGAGTTATGTATGAAAGGGTTGTAAATCTAGGCCTGTTTTGCTCCTTCATGTAGCATGTGTACTTAGTAAATTTTTTCTTTTGAAATTCTATTTTTTCCTATGAGTAAGGCAGTGTTTTGAATTTTGGGAAAAACTAGTATAAAAATTAAAGCACTATTTAGCATATTAATAGTGTTAAATTTATGGTTTCCTCTAATTTTTTCCTACATAAGCTCTTTCTTTGCAAAATTAATAACTTGCTTCTGATAAATTCTTACAAAAAAAGATGTGTTTGAAGTAGAAAATGAATATTTCATTTACAGTAGGCCATGTCACAGAGGCAACTACTAGTGGGCTCAGTCAGGCACACAGGAATATTTTTGTTTGATTTTGACTGATTGCTAAGATTAAAAAGCTTTAAAGTAGCTGGGCATAGTGGCTCACACCTGTAATCCTAGCATGCTGGGAGGCCAAGGCAGGTGGATTGCTTGAGTTCAACAGTTTTAGACCAGCTTGAACAAGAGCAAGATCTCTTCTCTCCTAAAAATAGAAAAAACTAGCCAGGCATTGTGGCTGGCGCCTATAGTTCCAGCTTCTCAAGAGGCTGAGGCAAGAGGATTGCGCAAGCCCAAGAATTTGAGGTTATTGTGAGCTATGATGCCAGGCTGCTTTACCCAGGGCAACACAGTGAGATTCTGTCAAATAAAATAATAAAAATAAAATAAAATATTTTTAAAAATAGGTTTAAAATTGTAGCTTCTCTTAAAATCAAGAGCTCTGATAACTTTGGGCCAGTATTCCCATGTGGCAACAATCTTCTGGACCTGAGTGACAGCTATTGCCTTTAAGTGGGCACCTGCTGTCTAGTTCAAAAGTTTCCACCAAACACTCCCACTTCACAAAAAAGAAGAAGCCTGTTTACTGATTTTATTACATTCTTGGTTGGGCCTTATAGGCATTTGAAAGTGCTACTCTTACTTTGCTTTATGAGAAACAAGCCAAATAAGGCCATACACAGTGGCTTATGCCTATAATCCTAGCACTCTGGGAGGTGGAGACAGGTGGATTGCCTGAGCTCGCAAGTTTGAGACCAGCCTGAGCAAGAGCAAGACCCTGTTTCTAAAAATAGTTGAGCATTGTGGCAGGTGCCTATAGTCCTAGCTACTCAGGAGGCTAAGGCAAGAGAATCACTTGAGCCCAAGAGTTTGAGAGGTTGCTGTGAGCTATGATGCCATGGCACTACCAAGGGTGACAAAAGTAAAACTCTGTCCCGCCCCCCCCCCCATCTTTCTTTCAAAAAGAAAAAAGCCAAATAATAAAGGGAAGGCACTCTTTAACTTTTTACACAATTTTTAAGGCTTATTCTTTCAAGAATTTGAAATATTTTTAGGCAACATAAACTAATGAAGATAAAATTTATAGATATTACAATATTCTATACAAAGCTAAATCTGAGATTTGACCTACCTTTTTTTTTTTTAAAGACAGAGTTTCTCTCTGTTGCCTGGCCTAGTGCCATGACCTCAGCCTAGCTTACAGCAATCTCAAACTCCTGGGATCAAGCAATCCTCCTGTTTTACCCTCCTGAGTAGCTGGAACCACAGGCACATGCCACTATGCCACTATGCCACTATGCCTAATTTTTCTGTCTTTAGTAGGAATGGAGTCTCACTTTGCTCAGGTTGGTCTCAAATTCCTGACTTCAAGAGATCCTCTTGTTTTTGGCCTCCCTTAGATTACAGGTATAGCCACCATGCCCAGCCAAATTTGATCTATTTTAATAAAATGTTTTCTTAAAGTAAATATTTTAAAGGTAATTTTGACAAATTATAGAACTAAGAAGACTGAGTTTTTAATTTTATCCTCTATACTTGTAGTTAGTATCTTGGTTTCTCTGTTTGAAACAGATTAAAATTAACTGGTACATCTCTAAGAGTTACTATACTATAGAACACGTGGCATATCCAAAACCTGCAGATATATACACTGTCTACATGAAAATGCTACTACAGTTTGATTATACCTTTTAAAAGAAACTTAGATTTTTCAGCAAAAACATTTTGAGAAGGGAAGGAATTATATTTGCTTTCATAATGTGTCATTATTAATAACTTTTAGTAAAACTATAATTTATAATAACTGCTCTATTCTAGGGCAGTAGGTATATGCTTTAATTCTTAGCATAGTAATAAATTTCTTGAGGTTACAGATAAATAGATTCAAGTTTAGGTATTAAAGTAATATGTTTAAATTCTTGCGGCTAATAAATAGTTCAGCTGGAATTAATTAATGAATTTATTTATTTTTTGAGTACACTCTGTTGCCCTGAGAAGAGTGCCATCATAGTTCACAGCAACCTCAAACTCTCAGTCTTAAGTGATCCTCTTGCCTCAGCCTCCCAAGTAACTGGAACTACAGGCACCCACCACAAAACCTGACTGTTTTTAGTAGAGATGGAGTCTCACTCTTGCTCAGGCGAACTGTTGATTTGGAGTGATCAACCTGCCTCAGCTTCCCAGGGTGCTAGGATTATAGCCATGAGCCACCATGCCCGGCCAAAGCTGGAATTTAAACAAATGTAGTTTGACTTCCTACTCCATGTCAGGTTCTATGCTGAGCATTGGCAAGACTAAGATGCTTGCTGTCATGGCAATAACACAGAAAGTCTGACTATACATAACCTGGTGCTCCTTGGCAGGCCGGTGAAGTAATAGGAGTGAGGACATAGCAGGCTGCTGGTTGTCTGCTGTTGTTTTTACCATTTGACAGCTCTGGTTTCATCAAGATTATGGGCTTTAAGAATGTTACCCCACCCATTACAATTTACACTTCATCTTGAATCATGACTCTGGGTTAGTATTCCAGAATAAAGTAAACATAAAGGCAGAAAATGTGTACAGCACAGGTGTGCTCCATTTTCAAGTTATGTAAGTTACAGGAAAGTATGCCAGCTTTCTCTGGTAACATTGTATGTATGTGTGTATCTGTGCCAGCTGTTGTGCTGGGCATACACATTATCTCTTATCCTTAAAATACCTCTTAATTAGGGTATTAGTGTCTGCATTTTTTTTTTTTTTTTGAGAACCCTGGGTAGAATGCTGTGGCATTATATCTCACAGCAACCTCATACTCTTGGGTTCAAGTGATCCTCCTGCCTCATCCTCCCAAATAGGAACTACAGGTGCCCACCACAATGCCTGGCTATGTTTTTTTTTTTTTTTTTTAATTGCAATTGTCATTGTTGGTTAGCAGGCCTGGGCTGGGTTAGAACCCACCTGCCTCGGTGTATATGGCCAGCGCCCTAACCACTGAACTACAGGGCACCGAGCTAGTATTTATATTTTTATTACATGGCAATAATTTTGTCTAAAGAGTTAAACTTTTTCTTTTCCAAAGATTACGACAATGAGGAAATCTTAACCTATGAGGAAATGTCACTTTACCATCAGCCAGCAAATAGGAAAAGACCTATTATCTTGATTGGTCCACAGAACTGTGGCCAGAATGAATTGCGGCAGAGGCTCATGAACAAAGAAAAAGACCGCTTTGCATCTGCAGTTCCTCGTAAGTTTGGATCCATTCCCATTTTCCTGTGCTTTTCAGTTTACCACCTCAGAATCTAACTGCATTATGTAGGGAAATTTTTCATTCATTTCATCAAAACAGTGTTGTCAATGAAGGAGGAAGTTTGTTTAACCAGATGTTTTGACAATTTATTATTAAAGATAGTTGTTCTTGAGTATAGCATATACTAATTATTTTCTGAATGAATTTCAGTTTGAGCCCCTTATTTCCTGTTCTATATGGAATCAGCTCTTGCTTCTTTAACCTGAAGCTGAAGATAGAAACTTACGTATCATTTCTGAAAAGAGAAGTTCTGTTTTAAGATTATATACTACCTAACCATATGGAAATAAACTTAAGGAAGAGATGAATGGTGAATTCAATTATTTTAAATGTAAGATGAAGTAATTTAAAGTATAAGCATAAAATGTACTAAGATAATATGACTATTATTAAGATAATATAAACACATTTTTATTTATTTTTCGATTTATAAATAAAAACGTTAAACACATAGACTCTTAGTACTTCCTCAGTTCATTATTTCATAATCTGTGTCACAGAATTCTCTGATTAGCAGAATTATCCCCCATTCCTCATCCTCACTTTAATCTATACCAGTAATTTTTATCTAATTTTGTTTGCCTAGATACAACTCGGAGTAGGCGAGACCATGAGGTAGCTGGTAGAGATTACCACTTTGTTTCACGGCAAGCTTTTGAGGCAGACGTAGCAGCTGGAAAGTTCATTGAGCATGGTGAATTTGAGAAAAATTTGTATGGAACCAGCATAGATTCTGTACGGCAAGTGATCAACTCTGGCAAAATATGTCTTTTAAGTCTTCGTGCACAGGTAAAGCTAGAATTTTGGTTTGGGATCTGAACTTAGAGGGCATGTCATACAGAATAATCTAGTGGACACTATATTTTGGTGTAAGAACAAGATGACTTCTTTTGGTTTCGTTAGAGGGAAAATATATACGTGTCTACAGGTATAGATTGAGTATCCCTTATCCAAAGTGCTTGAGACCAAAAATGTTTAAAATTTCTAGTTTCTTTCAGATTTTGGAAAATTTGCATATACATCAATCATAAGATGTCTCAGGGATAAGACTCAAGTCTGAACACAGAAATCATTTATGTTTTGTATGTGCCTTATACAAAGAACTGGAAGGTAACTTTATTTTTCCCCAGCAGTGCTGAGTAAGCTGGGCACACCTGCATTTGGACTGCAAACCACTCACAAGGTGAGGTGTAGCGTTTTCCACTTGCAGCATCATGTCACTTCTCAAGAAGTTTTGGATTTTGGAGCATTTTGGATTTCACATTTTTGGGTTAGGGTTGTTCAGCCTGTACACACATGTATATATTTTCTGAAGCTTAAAATAAAATACAATAAATACAGTACTGATAATACTTTTTTTGAGGCTATGAAAGAAAGAATTTCTCCTTTCTTATTCTGATCTAAGAAAAAAGAGATTGTTCTTATGCCTTTAAATGCCATTGTTAGCAGGCGTCACAATGTACAGGTGTATGTAATAATGAAACCTCCACCACTACTGATTATTTGGCAGTCTAAGTAAAAACTAGTGCAGCCGTCCTCAAACTACAGCCCGTGGGCCACATGCTGCCCGCCTAGGACATTTATCCAGCCCACTGGGTGTTTTTGCTGCCACTGCCTGTCCTGCTTAGCAGCCAATTCATCCTGGGGCCCGTAGTCCAGCCCTCCAACAGTCTGAGGGACAGTGAACTGGCCCCCTGTTTAAAAAGTTTGAGGACCCCTGAACTAGCGCCTCATAGGTGTCTCTTTTAAAAAGATAATTTTAGAAATTTGGCGTTTTTAAGATTGTTAAGGAATTTTTAAAGCTTTTTCTAGGTTGTACAGCTTAAACATAACACTTTGTTCAATGTGATAGAATCTATTGCTCATGTAACATAGTGGTCATTAAAAAGATGGACCTAAGGCTCAGCGCCCATAGCTCAGTGGTTAGGGTGCTGGCCACATACACCGAAGCAGGTCGATTCAAACCCGGCTCGGCCCGGGCCTGCTAAACAACAATGACAACTGCAATAGAAAAAATAGCCAGGTGTTGTGGCAGATATTTATAGTCCCACCTACGTGGAAGGCTGAGGCAAGAGAATCGCTTAAGCCCAAGAGTTAAAGGTTGCTGTGAGCTATGATGCCATGGCATTCTACCAAGGGGGACATAGTAAGACTCTGTCTCAAAAAAATAAATAAATAAAAAGATGTACATAGAGGAGAATTGATTCTTTTTTTTTTTAATGTATTAGGCATTTAATTGGGTTCTTTTTAAAGGAGAATTGATTCTTTTTTTTTTTTAAATTTTTTAGCCATTTAATTAGGTTCTTTTTAAGAAACTTAAAACGCCATTTTATGAGGGTAAGCTCCATTTGTCAGAGCAAACACGGATCACAGGTAGCCTTGGAGCTGAGGAATAGCCTTGATTTTCGGTAAAATTTGCAAGTCCACAGCTTTTTGATCAACCTTGCGCTGTTCTGTTATCTCGTATTTCTCTTTTTCTGTGGTGAAGATCTCACCTTCCTAGTGTCTGGGCTTCCGGAGCTGCTTCTTGAAATATACATCAGTAAGATGCTTCAGGATTTTAACATTACTGATGTCAATTTTTGTGGTGGTGGCGGCGATGACGAATTTCTGGTGTGTCCTTTGTAGAGGAACTCGATTGAGTGACAGAGATCCAGTCACAAGTAGCAAGCCACTGCCCAGTTGCTTTAGGAAAACCACTGTCTTGCCTCTGTGGTGCCCAGTGAGGATTAGAATGGTCCCGAGTGTGAAACTAGATCGCAGTTTTCTCTCATGCTGACTCAATGGTTTTTTGCCCTGGCTCAATAGCTTTCGAGGCACATCTTCGGTGGGATAGTACCTAGGCATTTTGCAAAGTTTAACCACCCAAGTACCACCATTCTTGTCCCCACCAACTGGTTTTGCAACAGTGGTAAGGACCTTCGCCGCCTTCTTTTCAATCTTGGATTTAGCTGCTGTGAATTTCCTCTTATACATCGCCTTTCTGGAATACATGGCGGATCGGGAATATCTGCCTATTCCTCTGACGAGAACAGGATTTCAGCTGCAGTGGGGCATCCCCTTCTTGGCCTTAGGCCTCTTCTTTTTATTAACAGGTTTCTTCTCTTTAGAAACAGGCTTCTCAACTTTTTCACCCGCCATCTTGCAAGACCAGGAGAATTGATTGTAAAATGGCTATTATAAAATAGCAATTTGGGGGCTTGGGATTTTTTTTTTTTTATTGGACAAATCCATTTAGGCTTTGATTGTTTCAAGTATAAACATTTGATTTAAGAGAAGTACAAATGTTTTTACAAAATTACTTCAAAAGTATTTGTATTATTTGGGCTAACATTTTCACAAAGAACTCAGGGTAGTAAAGTATATTTTTTCATTCATCTTAATTGTTTTTAGATAGGAAAGGGATTATCCCTGTCATCTCCCGTTTTGGTAGTGTGCTTCAGTTTGAGGACATATGGTTGTGCAGTGTTAAAGACACAGTGAAAATCATGGTCTCCTAATTCAAACAGAATCTGTCTTTTCTTGTATGTGCTTTCTAGAATTTTCTTTTGCCATGTGTATGTGAAATATTTCTCTCTTTTTCCTCATCTTTAATACCTGGCACATAGTAAGGCAACTGCCTTGATTCTACCTCTGAAATCAATTTTTAGTGTACTTACAATCTGTAAGTGGTCTTATTAGCAGGGTATTTTAGCATGATATAGTTGTCATCCTTCCATGTCATTCACTTATATTTCATTATATGAAAGAGCAAGTTGCACAGTATATTGTCACAGAGAATGATAGGGTCTGAAAATACTGTGAATTGTTATGAAGGTATCTGGAAACATTCATAGGCAATGATTGAAAAAAGTAACATTGAGTGGCACCTGTGGCTCAGTGGGTAGGGTGCCAGCCCCACATACCGAGGGTGGCAGGTTCAAACCCAGCCGTAGCCAAACTATAACAACAACAACAAATAGCCAGGCCTTGTGGCAGGTGCCTGTAGTCCTAGCTACTCAGGAGGCTGAGACAAGATAATTGCCTAAGCCCAAGAGCTGGAGTTGCTATGAGCTGTGATGACACAGCACTCTACCCAGGGCGACAAAGTGAGACTCTGTCTCTAAAAAAAAAGAAAGAAAGAAAAAAGAAAAAAGTAACATTATATTCCAAGTATTATTGGGAAGTAATTGAATAATGGAAAATATTCTTAAAATCCATGTATCTTTTCTTCATAGTCATTGAAGACCCTCCGGAATTCAGATTTGAAACCATATATTATCTTCATTGCACCCCCATCACAAGAAAGACTTCGGGCATTACTGGCAAAAGAAGGAAAAAATCCAAAGGTAATTATTATACTACTGTACTGTTCCACTGAAGGAAAACATGAAGTAGTCCTGATCTAATTTGTCCCAATGCTTAAAAACTGCAACGGCTTAAGTTTTCAAACTGATTATTATTTCTGCAGTGTCGTTTGTCCAGGAATCACCATGGTTGCCACTAGTTGGACTATGGCAGCCC